TAATATTCCCTTTCTATTAAGAAATGAAGTTGCACCACATGAAATTTCAATTTCTGTGGGTCAAAAATAGTTGAAAGTGTGTACAATTTTGATTAAAGAGTTCAAACACCATATTTGCCTCTCCAAAAACACTCATAAAAAGCAGGACTGATACTCAGGAATAAGGATAAGAGTAAGTAAGTTACTGACCTCTATCAAGGAACAATGGACCATACAAACTTGTCTGCTGTGCCTCAAATGGTTACTCCTCAATAAGATACTTAATATTTTAACTGCAGCAACAACTTTAAACAAGGTGCAAAACAATGACTATTAATTACTATCATTACTCAGTGGGGGAGAGAAATATGGGTATCACAGGGCTCAACCTGTGCCAGGCATCAACCTGCTTCTTGAAGAACTATATGGAATAACACTATATTTAAATATACATGCTATTTGCAATCTCCACGTAATGGCAGGTCAATTGAGAAAGCTAAAAACCATACAGGGGAATGCTGTAATGTACACATTAAAGGCTATGCATTATAATACATGACTTTAACCATAAGTGATTTAATCAGTTCTCTATATTAAAAATTGTTGCTTCCTATTCTTTTACTGTGATTAATGTTGGATCCTCAAGTATCTCTTATAAGTATCATTCTCTAGATAAATTTCATGAACTATCACTGTGCTGGGTGAAAAGATTACTTCTCTGGAAAATTCTTCTGATTAGTAATACGTCAATATCCAGGGGTTATAAAATGATGTTTTATAGCATAAAAGGTTACAGTGAGACTTTATATGATAAAAATGCAGCAAGAAGAGAACTATAGAGAGAAGATAGAGCCATATAGTTATAACAGGAAGGCAAAAGAGGTCCTGTCTGGGTTGGTACCAGTGGGAGGTGAGCAAATAAAGAAAGGGTGTAGGAGGGTGAATGTGTAGAAATACTACGACTATGTATGTTAATGGAAAAAATGAGACCTGTTGAAACTACTCCAGGAATGGGTGGGGAGGGGATGAAAAGAATGGATAGGGTGAATTGCAACTAATAAATATATATAAGAAACTTGTAAATGTCACATGTAGCCTCCCAGTAATAAAAAATAGGAACTGGTGGAATGACTCAAGTGGTAGAGTTGGCCTGCTAGCAAGTGTGAGGCCCTGAGTTCAAACTCCAGTACCACCACTGAAAGAAAAAAAATTAATAAACAAAGAAAGAACAAAAGAGTATTTCAAATCAATAAACTTTCTAAAGAAACTTGAAAAAGAGCAAAACTGAACCTAAAGTAACAGAATGAAGTAATGTTAAGCTATAAATCAGTGAAAGAGAAATCAGAAAAAACAGAGAAAACAATAAAATCAAAAACTGGTTCCTTACAGACAATAAAATTGATGAGCTCCTACCAGACTGACCGAGTTAGAAGTCATAAATTATAAACGTTAGGAAGAGGGACATGACTCATAGCTAGTCTTAATGACTAAGAAGGGAGCATGCTGAACAACTATTAGGTACAAATTTATTACAGGTCAAATTTATTCTCAATGAAGTTGCTTCAAAAATACCAAAGCTGACAGAATAGTTGAATTGATATAGGTGCCTTAACTTATTAACTTCAAAAAACCCCACAAATATACTATCTCAGATAATTTGGCAGTTTTTCTGGATTACAAAGGACAAGTCTTCATATATTTTCTAGTTTTAAAGAGTAAAATTAATTGATGTATGCTAGAAATCCTTGTGAGAGAGTCACAAATCAAGCAGTCATAAGAAAATAAAATCACCCTGTAAAGAGAATACCCAAGATACCAAAGATTTCGTGTGGTGTAATGAATGACTGACAATACTCTCTTTGCAGGAAACCTTGTGAAAAGCCGCATACCTGTATGTCTCATTTCACTCAGCTTTATTGTTATCAAGTCAATCACAGGTGGTGGATGCTTCTGGCTCTCTGTTACCATGGTGAACATATTTGTCATTGTATCAGTCCAAAATCAGCAACAAACACATTCTCAGAAACTGCAGACTGTGGAATGACCACAACTGGAGCATGGATGTTAACCATCCAATGCCAATCTGAACTCGTTTGTGCCAGTTCCTTTACACCAGTAGCAGCCATTTCTGCTGCCTGAACAGTTGCTTCAGCCGGCTTTTTAGCTGCTTGAAAATTGTCATAAAAGCCTACAAAGGATAACAGAATTTTAATCTTAACATTATCTTGAGAAGACTTACTACATTACTCTGTCTTGCTTGATACTTTGCTCTATAAAAACAACTTTTACCTTTGTATAATCAAACATTATTTATTCAAAGTCTCACTGTCCATATTAAACCTTAATTTCCTGCTGTAAAAATTGAGGGAAAAAACACCAAAAAGGTACTGATAAAACATAAAATCTAGTCCCTCCAAACAAAGCAAAATAAGGATTATGGAATGTTTACTGATATCTATTTCCTTTATTATTGTACTCCCCTAATATCTAATAAAACAAATTTCCCTATACAAGCTCAATGGACAGCTTTATTTATGTTTGTAAGAGTTAAAATCTATAAAGTATGTTTTAAAATTCTCAAATAAGTGTTCTAATTTTTCAAATTCTAGAAAAGCACTTCATCATTGATATGTTATTAAAAAAAACTACCTAGATTTAAACTTAACTTTCATGTTCAGATGAAAACAAAAACATTCATTTAAAGTATAAGATAAAGAGAGCTGTTCTGAAGATTGTTTTTCAATAATAAAATAGATTAGACAAAGAATACTTGTAAATCTTTTTTGTGTACAAAAAGACTCTATAGCTATAGAAAAATTCATGATAATCTCCATTTAAAAGATCACCGAGAGAGGCTGTTACCATACCTGTACATCTAGCTACTAACTGTCAGCGGTAGATGTTGGGAGGATATGGATTCAGAACCACCGCAGGCAAACTTGTTCATGAGACCTATCTCAAAAACCCATCACAAAAAAGGGCTGGTGGAGTGGTTCAAGGCATACGGTCCTAAGTTCAAATGCCAGTGCCGAAAGAAAAAATCACAAGAAGTTAGAATCAAGTCAAAATTCTCAAGTAACAGAACAATGGGCTCCACATTCTCAATCTTATCCAAGTGCATAAATAAATTCCTCCTTGCTTATGATATTGCTTACGTTTAGGCCTATATGTTCAACAACATCCTTGGATTTGATTATCTAGTCGGTACACCAAAACTTAGATAGGTTTCAAAAGAATAGCTAGACTGAGGGTAATAGCACAGTGATAGAACACTTGCCTAGCAATATGCAAGGACTGGATTAGTCACCAGCCTTGCAATAGAACAAAAAAACAACAACAAATAAAAAGAATAGTGATGTCACAGAGATAAGTATGACAGTCACAGAAAAAGTAATACACGGCAACAAGGAAAACAAGAAAAAAAAAATGTAAAGCAGAATTTAGAATTCAAGGGCTAGGTAGATCAGTCAGAGATTAGATCTAATTCATTAAAGCCTCTGATGATAACATTTTTAAATAATGTACATCAAAAACTTAATTTTCTACAGAGATTTGAGACTGAAACAAACTTCAATTACATGTTATCAGTATTTTAGAAGTCAGTTTAGTCAGAAGCTAAGAATGCAAGGATAAGCTAATTGATGTGTAAAATAAGACTTCAATTAAGTATGCGTCGCCTCTATTATATATAAAATCAAGCAATGTATTTATGTTATTATATTATAAGATGTTGTATATAAAATATATAGATTAGAGAATTTCCATGTAGAAAATGTTTTAACATTTATAAAA